TATATATATATAATATATAATATAATATAATATATATATACAAACATACACACACTCACATACACATATTCTTCAACTGTTTTTAAAGCATGGTAACATTTACATATTTGTACGTTTCAAAAAGACCGACAACAACAATAGCAACACCAGCAACATCATCAACGACAACATCAAAAACAACACCAACAACAACACCTTCAACACCACCACCACCAACAACAACAACAACATCAACAACAACAATAATAATTAATTACAACGACAATGACAACGACAACAACAACAACAACAACAGCAAGAACAACAACAACGAAAACAACAACAACAACGACGACATCCACGACCTTGACACAACAACAAAAACAACGAAAATAATAAGAACAGCATAAACTATAATTCCATCAAAAATAATACTCTTAACGACGACAATAATAGGCAACAAGAACTATGCTCTTCGGCCTCCTAAAAGCCAACATGTATCACCAAAAAATCTAATTTTGAGAAGTTCCAGCATCTTTCACAGCCCTAGTTGTTACAATAGTAATACTCAGCCAGCAGAAATGGCGTGTGTAACCCTGGGTCAATACAAACACGTCCTGTTTACTCTGTCTGTTCCAGTAACCAGGGACCCTTGTGCTAACTTCGAGTGTTTGAACGGAGGTTCCTGCACTGCACCTGCCGACCTCCCATCTTGTAGGTGTACAGGAGGGTATTTCGGGGACAAATGTCAATTCGGACCAGGTAGGTTGACAACAACAATAACAACAAATGGACTAGTAATGACAACACAAAATTACAATAACATCAACAGCAATAACATTTTATAAGATCAAAACAACAATGGCACACCAATTAAAAGCGACAAAAATAACACAAACAGCTTCAACCATAACATCAACAAGTACACTGTCAACAAAAACAGTAGAAACCAAAAGTAACTATAACTATACTCTTGGTCCTCCACAAAGTCAACACATATCATAAAGTCTCTAATTTTGTGAAGTTTCAGCATCCTTCATAGCAGTAGTTGTTACATTAATAATAAACAACCAGCAGAAAGCAGAAATGGCGTGTGTTGCACTGAGTCAATACAAAGTTTGATATGTTCTGTTTACTCTGTCTGTACCAGTAATCAGGGACCCTTGTGCTGGCTTCGAGTGTTTGAACGGAGGTTCCTGCACTGCACCTGCCGACTTCCCATCCTGCCTATGTCCACAAGGGTATTACGGAGACAAATGTCAATTCAGACAAGGTACGTTGTTTGGGGTTGGGTTTTTTTCGTTAATTTTATTTTGAGAAAAATAGACAGGCATAAAAACAGATTGGTAGACAGATACATACAGAAGAGGGGATTGATATGCAAAGAACATTTATAGAAGGAAATTGTGTCATTCAATTGTTTGAAATAAAGATGTTTGGTAAAATTCAAAAGGAAAAAAATTAAGCGAAAGACATTCTGCAGCTGGTTTTTTAAATGCATAATTGAATTTATATCTTTGTGCTTCTCAAATAGACAGACAACAACAATAACAACTGACCGATTGATATCAACAATACCAGCAAACAACATAAACAACAACACTTGCAACACCACCACCTTTAACAAAATCAACAACATAACAACAATGATAACAATTAAGTAAAACGACAACGACAGCAACTGCAACTTCAGCAGCAGCAGCAACAACAACAACAATAACAACAACAAAAGCAACAAAAACAACAACAATGACACAAAAAAACAAGGAATATACCAAGAGCAGAATCAACTACAACTTCCTCAACAACGACACTCTCAACGACGACCGTAGTGGACAACAATAGCAAAGCTATTCGACCTCCACTGTATCAACATGTAATATCTCAAAGTCTCTACTCAAAAAGATTAGTTTCCAGCATCCTTCATATTAATAGCCCTACAGCAGAAACGGCTGGTGTAGCCTTGGCCAATACAAATACGTCCTGTTTGCTCTATCTCTACCAGTAACCAGGGACCCTTGTGCTAACTTTGAGTGTTTGAACGGAGGTTCCTGCACTGCACCTGCCGACCTCCCATCCTGCAGTTGTCCAGGAGGATATTTCGGGGACAAATGTCAATTCGGACCAGGTAGGTTGACAACAATAAAAACAACAAATGGACCAGTAATGACAACACAGACTACAACAACATCAACCGCAGTAACATTTACAAGATCAACACAACAACGGCACATCAACAAAAACAATGAAAATATAACAATGACCTCAACAAGAACACTGTCAACAAAACAGTAATAACCAACAGTAACTATACTCTTGGTCCTCCACAAAACCAACACATATCATAAAGTCTCTAATTTTGTGAAGTCCCAGCATCTTTCATAGCCGAAAGCCATAGTTGCTACATTAGTAATTAACAACCAGCAGAAAGCAGAAATGGCGTGTGTTTCTCGGAGCCAATACAAATTTTAATGCGCCCTGTTTATTATGTCTGTACCAGTAATCAGGGACCCTTGTGCTGGCTTCGAGTGTTTGAACGGAGGTTCCTGCACTGCACCTGCCGACTTCCCATACTGTATGTGTCCAGAAGGATATTCCGGAGACAAATGTCAATTCGGACCAGGTGGGATTTATTTTTGTTAATTGTAATGAGAGAAAAAAATGAAGAGGTATATAAACAGATAGATAGATAAATACGTACAGAAAAGTGAACTGATGTGCAAAGAAATTTACGGAAATTGTGTTATTCAGTCTTTTGAAATAAAGATGTTTATTAAAAAAACAAAAGAAGAAAAATTAAGCTTAAGGCATTTTTTAAACTGTTTTCAAAGCATGGCAACATTTAGATCTCTGTATATCTCAAATAGACCAACAACAACGACAACAACGACAACAACAACAACATCAATGCAAACAACAACAAAACAACAGCAATAACAACGTCAACAACAACAACAACAACACCTCCACCAACAACAACAGCAACACCATCAACAACGACAGCAATAAGAACGCCAACAACAACACTTTCAACAGCAACAACAACAACAACAACAACAACAACAACAACAACAACAAACAATAACAACACAAACAGGCAACGACACTGCCGGGCTCAGGCCGCCAATCGCATAATATGGAAGCGAGTGCGCCCAGATAAAACTGATTACAGAAGACCCCCCGATATCCCATACACGGGCAATTTCCACAAAACGGGAGGCGCTAATTAAATCCAGCAGCTACCAGTCACAACTGACAAAAATCAGGACTGGGCTGCAGGCCTAAAAACATAGAATAGACAACACATCGGACCCAATCTGTTCATTGTGCAGAGAGGAGCCCCAAGATTTGGAGCATTGGCTGCAGAAATGCCCCGTTACAGAAGTCCGGCAGTGGTATCTCTTTGGGGAGGAATCAGGGAGAGTGAACTGTCTCACCCGCTGCCCAAGAGAGGCAGTGGCCTGACGAAGAGCACGCTCTTCGGGGCTCCAAACGATTTGGAAGGATATGCTACCATACACAACAACAACAACCACAATAACAACAACGATGACATAAAAACGAAAACAACGAAAAGAACTAGAATACCATCTACAATAATTAAATGTATCAACAACAACAACACTCTCAACGACGACAATAGTAGACAATAATACCTATGCTTTTCAACCTCCACAAAGCAGCATTCTTTGTAGCTCAAGTATCTACCTATATAATACACAGCCAGTAAAAATGGCGTGTGTTGCACTGAGTCAATACAAATACGTTCTGTTTACTCTATATGTACTAGTAATCAGGGACCCTTGTGCTAACTTCGAGTGTTTGAACGGAGGTTCCTGCACTGCACCTGCCGATCTCCCATTCTGCAGTTGTCCAAAAGGGTATTTCGGAGCCAAATGTCAATTCTCATCAAGTAAGTTGGGGTGTTTTTTTCATAACCTGAACAGGCACACATAACCATAGATAGATAGATAGATAGATAGATAGATAGATAGATAGATAGATAGATAGATAGACAGATAGATAGGTAAGGGGCTCTCGTGGCCTGGTGAATAAGGTGTTGGCCTTTCATTATTCGTCTCCTCTTTCTGCCCCTACCTCCTCATCTCCTTTGCCCCCTCCTCTGGGTTCCTGACTCTTTCTGCAGCCTTTCTACTGCTAATCCTTGGCTCTTTTTTACTGCTGTCTTCCAGACACAACCCTGATCTTCTGGTAGGAAAGATCTACACCCAGCCCTCTCGGACAAGGGCGAAAAATCTCGGAGGGCACGTGTACAAGTTGCGCACGTTAAAGATTTCATGGTGGTCTAAAATCGATAAGAGTAGGCTTCGGCATCCACCCGGGGCAAAATTCAAAATTTCCCACCGACTGAAAAGCTTAATGAGCCCCACGATCTCATATGACCTTATGCAGTTGCGAACGCCATAAAACAGTTACCAAAAAATAGATAGATAGATAGATAGATAGATAGATAGATAGATAGATAGATAGATAGATAGATTAACCGATCGATCAATCGATTGATTAAAATGTCAGCAATGTAATATTCAAAGTAGCTTCTCTACATGAAAATCAAACAAAAAACTGAAGGAGAAACATTTTTGTTAAACAATTTCAGACCTTTTTCCACCAAGATCTATCCCGGCAAACCCTTCCACCTATTTCCTCTGCTTTGATAGAGAGACTTGCACTACATGGCAACCGCCCAAAGTGTCTTTGCGCTTCAGGATATACTGGTCGCACATGCCTTAGAAAATCAAATAAGTTCCTTTTTCCAAAAAAAAAGAGAGAGAGAGAGAGAGAGAAAGAGAGAGAGAGAGAGAGAGAGAGAGAGAGAGGGAGAGAGAGGGGGGGAGAGAGAGAGAGAGAGAGAGAGAGAGAGAGGGGAGTGGGAGAGGGAGAGAGAGGGAGGGAGAGGGGGAAAGAGAGGAGGAAATAGCGGATGGTTCCAGGGTGCCACATAATTCGTTCTGCTTCTTTACTTTTTTCCTTGTTGTTCCCCTCTGACTATCTTGCAACTTCCCTGCCCTAAAAGATGGCTATCGTGTTGACTTTATACTCAAACTGAATGAACATATAATATCAGAGAGACAGAGAGCGAGAGAGGGGAAGGAGAGACGGAGAGAGGTGGGGAGTAGGGAGCATTTGAAGTATAGGAGGATGAATGGCTGAAGTATGGAACTAAGAGTGCACGTTTGAGTGTGCAGGAGAAAAGAAACGAAAAGGGGAGGGGGGGGCAGAGAAAAACCATGAGAGAGAGAGGGGGGAGAGTCGAATAATATAGTAATACGAAAGCTTTCATTACACAAAATGGAGTGCACACGCGCGCGCACACACACACACACATACACACACACACACACACACACACACACACACACACACACACACACACACACACATATATATATATATATATATATATATATATATATTTATATATATACAAACGCGCGTGCGCTCGCGCACCCAAACGCACATCATATACACACACACTCACAAATACACACCACACACACACATACACACACAAACACCCCCTCGTAGATACACATTGTTACGAACTAACTCAAAAATGTTGATCTTTTTGTGGTGACTCTTCTCGTCTGACCTAGATCCCTGCGCTAACTTCAACTGTTTGAATGGAGGTTACTGCTTTTCATTTTTCAACCGCCCATTCTGTTTGTGTCGCTTTGGATATGTGGGGAAAAAATGTCAAACAAGAATCTATTAACGGTGAGTTCTAATTTGTATCAATGCATTTTATTCTACCATCCTGTGTGTGTGTGTGTGTGTGTGTGTGTGTGTGTGTCTGTGTCTGTGTGTGTGTGTGTGTGTGTGTGTCTGTCTGTCTGTGTGTGTGTGTGTGTGTGTGTGTGTGTGTGTGTGTGTGTGTGTGTGTGTCCTGTTGAATAATTGGAAACAATTGTTATGTTAAACAAGAATCTAATATATAATGATGAATTCGCATGTCTGTCACTACACATTTTTCTACCGCCCGTTCAGAGGTGTGTGCGCCGTTGGATATGATATTATCATGGGAAACAAAATCACTACCTCAGAATTACAAAGTTCTATTTGACATTTTTGGCAGTTTTGAGTTACTAAAACCATGAGATCAGAAAACAAATGCCCTATATGCTCTTTCAAAACTGTAAAAATTATTGATTATCAAGATATTCAAAGAATGGCATTCAAAAAAGCTTGAGATATTGTGAAACTCAAAATGTTTATGTCAAATTTCTCAAAACTAAGTACTGACTGAGCAAATAGAATTTTGTAACTCTAAGGTAGCGAAATATCAAACAAGAATCGTATAATGGTGAATTCTATTGTATGTCACTGAATATATTTCTACCGCCCATTATGTGAGTGTCCTGCTTCATATACAGACTTCAACAAAAATTAAGGACCACCTTGACAGACAGCCTTGATTTTTTTTATCCGAAAAAAAACAACGGCAAGGAATTTTTCAAAAATGTTAGCTCTGAAAATGCTAATGGTTACCAATGCGTACTGTAAAGCTTCCCAAAGGAGCAAAACCACCACGAGCTGCACGAAAATCCTCTGGGAATTTTAGCCACATTTGCTGTTTTTTATCGACTTGCATGCAACACCACGGTCATTCCTCAGTTAAAATTTCTAGTACACGTCATAAACGGATTTACGGTCTCGAACTGTGCTCACTTTGGTTGCAATATAAGCCGCCGTTTGCTCAAAATCCAGTATCGCATAAACATGCCACCAAGACGAAAGCTGAGAGACTTTGATGGTGCCAGAGCTATTGCATGGTTGCCTGATGGAGTTGGAGCCCGAGAAGTTGCCAGAAGGCTTGCAGTGTCACACTGTCATTGTCCGCTTGAGGCAGCGCCATCAAACCACTGGATCCATCCAAGAGCTCCCGCATGCAGGTCGACCCAAGAAGACCACTCAGAGTGTTTTCCAGTGGTCCTGAACTTTTGTTGAAGTCTGTAGTTAGTAGGGGAAACAAAACATGTCAATCCAGAAACGAGTAAAGGTGAATTCTAATAGATTCTATATGTCACTGCACAGTAAAGCCACATCCCATTGATGCAGATATGCTAGGTTGTTAGTGTTTTTTGGTTTTGCTTCTGTTTTGTTTGGTTATTTATTGTGGGGAGGGAAAAATTAAACTATTTTCAGAATATTTTTTTTCGAAATAGAAATTTCACAAAGACATAGCAGTTACGTTTCATTTTTATCATAGACCTCACAATATATAAATTAGTTGCCGTAGTATTTGTCAGCATGTATACTGTGCTGAAATCTATGTTTCTTAGTTTATTATTGAAAAATTCTTTTACATCTTTTCAGATGGAAAGGAAAGTTGAATTTGTTATGTCCTCATTACTGTTCACAGTAACAGTACATTTTTGGCGAATTTCAATATCATGACAGCAGCCGTTTCTAATTCCTCACTCTGTGTTGTGATTTGTGTTTTGATTCCTTTGTCTTTGATTAATTTCTTAGTAGCTGTGGTTTTTTAAAGTTAATAATTATCATGTTGTTTTCTTCGCCTATATACAGGATTGACATCTCTCTCTCTCTCTCTCTCTCTCTCTCTCTCTCTCT